TTTTTTTTAAAAAATTCAAGTAATCTATAATCATTTAGTGGATTAATTTTGTCAGAAATTGTAGAATTTTGTAATTCTGTAGAAATCTGCCTAAAGGAAAAATCAGGAATATTTTTGGACAGATATTGTACCTATATGTGCATATATTTATTTCTGAACAAACAACCATTAAATCATTTGACAGTTTATTCTGGCATAGGACTGAAGGTCATATGTTTAGCCTCAGTGTGTGACAGATGACTTTCTTTTACAATCTCTGACAACACCATTAAAGGATTCCAGCTGTGTTGGTCACAAATTTATCATCAGTGACAGAAAAACAAGTCAAAGTACAAGCAGATTGGGCCAATAACATCATGATTTGCATATGCATGGCAAGTCTTTTAAATCCTGCTCCCTTGTTTCTATTTGTCATGTGCCCAGGTTACATTGCCACTATAATCCTAAATCATATCAAGGATATAACAGAAAGGGAGTGGCTTTCAAGTGGTTGTATATATGAAATACACTTCGTGTAAACGGCTCCTGGAATTATCAAAATAAAGAAACTAAAGATGGATGACTCTTTTGTTCTGGCCAAACTTCATCCTCTCAGAACCCAGCTTAGAAATCATTTCCTCTGGAAAACAAATAAACTATCCTCCACTTACCCACCTCCTCAGATAATCCGTTTCTATTGTGCTGCATAGGAACTCTGTACTTTCTGTTCAGTTTTTCTGTAAACCTGAAACTGCTCTAAAAATTAAATCTGCTTGGGACTTCCCTGGTGGTGCAGTGGTTGGGAATCTGCCTGCCAGTGCAGGGGACACGGGTTCGAGCCCTGGTCCGGGAGGATCTCACATGCCGTGGAGTAGCTAGGCCCATCCGCCACAACTACTGAGCCTGTGCTCTAGAGCCCGCGAGCCACAACTACTGAGGCCCGCGTGCCTAGAGCCCGTGCTCCGCAACAAGAGAAGCCACCGCAGTAAGACCCACACCACAATGAAGATTAGACCCTGCTCTTCAGAGCTGGAGAAAGCCCGCGCGCAGCAGCAAGGACCCAATGCAGCCAAAACAAGTAATTAATTAATTTAAAAAAATTAAATCTATTCACTTTAAAAATGTATTGCAAAATAAAATGTTTAGGGGGTCAAGATTTTGTTTCATGTGACCGAGCCATATCAAATTTTTTCTCAAACGTTACAACTGCCATTAGCGTTATTTAAAAACTCTAATGTCAGCATATTAAGATTAATTTGGCCAAGCTGTAGTTTGAATGTCTCAGATTCTTTACATTTCTGACACGCTGCCAGTAATCATTACTTGGCAAAGCAAGTCTCTCCTTAGGGAATCTTCCCTACTTCTTCTTCTTCTTTTTTTTTTTTATACAGCAGGTTCTTATTAGTCATCTATTTTATACATATTAATGTATATATGTCAACCCCAATCTCCCAATTCATCCCACCACCACTCCCTGCCACACTTTCCCCCCTTGGGGTCCATACGTTTGTTCTCTATATCTCTCTATTTCTGCCTTGCAAACTGGTCCGTCTGTACCATTTTTCTAGAAGGAATCGTCCCTACTTCTAAACATACTTTTCTATCTGTCAGCAGCCTGCTAATGTTTAAAGTATATTAGGTAGAGTTCCCTGTGCTATACAGTGCAGGCTAACACAATATTATAAAGCAACCACACTCCAATAAAAGTTAATAAAAAAATAAAAATACAAAGTATATGTGCACACAAGGGAAGAGTTTCATGTTTAGTTATAGTAGTATTTATTTGAGGGTTCTATGTGAAGTTTTTATAACTTGTATAATAAACTTATTACACTAATAGATTATATTCAAATAGTATATTTTTGACTCAAATCTATAGTGCCGAGATTATTTCCTCGATCAAGATAAATCTTTAAAAGACTGCCCCAATATATACTTTCAGCTATTGTGTACTCAATACTATTAAACTCAAAAATACTGAAATAATTAAATTAATTATAATTTATCTAGAATCGCTTATCCTTCCAAAAATATTTTAAATTACACAGGTTCCAGACCAGGTGTGAGAAGCTGAGAAGATAACAGAGAACATTCCTACCATTAAGGAATTTACACTTTCTTGAGTGAAAGGGACCAATGAACAGACAATTATAATACAGTACAATTATTTCTACAGTAATGGATAAGTTTAAGATTTTTAGTGAGTAAAAACTGTTCACATACCTATTGCTTTTATGCCAGTCTGAAAGATATTGCAGAGTTAAAATAGACAGGATAAGAAAAATGATTAGGAAAGGAAAGAAAAGGTGGAGAAATAGTAAGGATATGATGATGGTCTCTGACTTGGGGAAGTGGGGAGATGAAGACATGGTGCATGGGAGCAGGACCTGATTCTGGGGCCTGTTGGAGGTGAGAAGGGGAGAGTGATCAATGCAGATGGAATTGCAGATGCAAGAACTGGGCTTTAGATTTGAGAATGGTTTGCATTTAGATAAAACTGACGCCAGGAAACGAATGTGCATAACCAGCGAGTCTGTGTAACGTGTGAAAACAAGAGAAGGCGTTAGCATTTAGAAGTTGACATCAACAGGTTAACAGAAGAAGACCTTGCAAAGAATCCTGAAAAGACTCAAAAATTAGAGAGAAAAAAGCATAGAGTGCAAGGTCAGGAAACTCAAGGCAAGAAAATGTTTCAAGAGGTAAGTGATAAAGAGGGTTAAGTGGGGAAGAGAAGTAAATGTGATCAAGACTGAAATGTGCTCGGGCCTTGCGGTGTGGGTACTATTATCATCTTAACGGAAATTTAAGATGGTTCTGTTTCATCTGCCCACTCTCAGTGCCCAGCTCACTAAGCACCATCCATTCACTGATTCAGAAAATATTTATTAAGGGCCTATTATGTCCCAAGAAATGCAGTTCTTTCAAAAGAAAAGGTGAGCTTTTTCAGGTTTGGAATATATCAAAGACAAAACACACCCAACTCTTTGCCCTTGTGGTGTACCCATTCCAGAGGTAGGGAAGACAGACAATAAAACATATATATATTTTTTAATGGATTGAAAAATGAACAGAAAGTGATGGATTTAAGATAATGAATACATACCAATATGAAAATACGTTAACTAAATATGACAGCAAGAGATTTTTTTCTAATTCAACAGAAAAGAAACTGGAAAATTTTCACATAGCATTGATGCTAGCAGAGAAAGAAGAACTGAAAATAAGGGGGAAAGGAAGCAGATAAATGGTGAATTAGCATTGCCATGAAGAGGGAAAGGACTAGATTTCAAAGTACAGATGGAGAGATTAGACTTACACCAAAGTGACTTTGCTAGCATGATTTGGATACAAGGAGAAAGGAAGTAAAGTCACAGGTAGGTTGATAATAATAGAGGAAATTCCATTTTATACTTTCAGGGAAAGTAAAAGGCTTCCTCCTGACAGTGAAAGGAAAAGAATAGCGATAAAGGGGTTAGAAGAGAATTCGAATGCTTGAATTATATAATTACCATCGGGCATGAGAGAGAGGACAGCATTGTTAGAGTTTATGATTTGCCCTCATAGCACCCTAGCTGCCTGAATTTGAAAATAGAGAAGCTGGATAGTTGTGTCGTTATAGGTCCAGTAGACGGACAATGGCACAAAGGTTACTGGCAAGAAGGTAATGCACTAGTGGGTTGTGGGTTCTAGAAAAGACGAGGAACGGGGAAAAGCAAGACAGGCCGGATAGGCAAGGAGGAGAATGCCCAAAGATCTAGAGGTGCAAGTTTGAAAGCCTCGTGAAGTCCAGCTTATCGATTCTTTCTTTCATGGATCATGCCTTTGGTGTTGGATGTACAAAGTCACTGCCAAACCCAAGGTCAACCTAGATGTGCACCTATGTCATCTTCCAGGAATTTTATATGTTTGCATTTTATATTTAGGTCTGTGGTCCATTTTGAGTTCATTTTTGTGAAGGGGTACTGTGAAGGTCTGTGACCGTTCATTATTTTTGCATGTGGATGTTTGGCTGTTCCAGCACTATTTGGTGAAAAGACTATCTTTGCACCATTATATTGCCTTTGTTCCTTTGTCAAAGACTGGCTAAATATAAAGATCTTCCTCGACCTATGATGTTGTTACATCCTGATAAACCCATCATAAGTGGAAAATATCATAAGTCAATAATGCATTTAATACACCTAACCTACACCTTAGCGGGACATTGTTCCCTCCTCTCTGACCCCATTTTGGCCAAGAAGACCCAGTCTGAACCTGCTGTATAAAAAAATAAATAAAATAAAATTTTAAAATTAAAAAAAAAAAAGACCCAGTCTGGATATTGCTGGCAACTTGCAAAGAATTTTTTCTTCTCCCAGTTTTGATCTACTTTGCATTGCTGACAAATGCCACCTAGGAAAGACTACAGCACTTTGTGGTTCTCTTCTGTGGCCTGGATGCCAGGGGTTTTTGAGGATCCAGAAGTCACCCTGAGGAGGGGGAAGTGGTCATGACAACCTCTAGTGGTTTGGGGAGAAGGATGAATTGACTCCCTTTTTCCCAAGAGATGTCACATAACACCCAGCATATAGAGGGGGAGCTGTTCCCAGGTACTACAAAGGAACATGCACCCTGATGTCCAGAATATGGTTTGCTGGAGTCACTTGTGGTAAGACTACAGGGGCCAAGCTGAAACCATAATTGGTACAGAGACAGTGTGTGGTATGAATCACACAGGGTCTGGAGGAGACTGTACCAAACTAGAGAGACAGTGCCTTTTCTGAAGGTGCATCCCCAGATGTCTTGATGACTATGGTTATAAGAGATGAGTGTGTACATATCACACTGGGGCATTTCCTGGAGTTGAGGTCATTGTCAGCGCAAATAAGGGTTTGTTTACTCCTGTAGCCTATGAACTGTTCACCTCAAGGCTATTACTGCACAGACAAGAAAAAGAAAATAGAAGAAAGGGAAATCCTATAGTCTTTTATCATCCAGCCAGAGTTTTGTCGACTCAGATAGAAATGATCTTTACTGCTTACCAATGTTGCCGGCCCCTAAGGAGGGCTACCCTTCCCAAGGCATGGAGAGACAGAAGGTCAAGTCAATATAAGCATGAGAAATCTTCCAGTTTCTGGAAAAAAAAAAAGAAGTAGATCCAAACTTTTACTGAACCATTTTTTAAAAAGTTCTACTGACATCTGACAAACTATAGACTGCACATAATTAAAGTTTACAATTGGATCTGTATGATGTACATATAAACCCATGAAACCATTGTTAACCATTCTAATGAACACTTCCATCACCCCTATATTCACCCTGTGCCCTTTAGTAATCTCTCCCTGCCCTCACTGACCCTCAGGGAAACCACTGATTTACTTTCTTTGACAGTAAATTAGTTTGTATTTTCTAGAATTTCACATGACTAGAATCAGGTTTACTTTAAAATAAAAGTCCTGGTTTCCTTCATGCTTCATAATTATTTTAAGATTCATAAACACTATTTTTGTGAATAGTTCCTTATCTTCATTGCTGAGTAGTATTCCACTGTATGGATACACCAGTACTTGTTTATCTATTCAGCTGTTAATGGACACTGGGGCTGTTTCCATTTGGGGGTTATTACAAATAAAGCCGCATTTTTTTTTTTTTTCGGTACGCGGGCCTCTCACTGTTGTGGCCTCTCCCGTTGCGGAGCGCAGGCTCCGGACTCTCAGGCTCAGTGGCCATGGCTCACGCGCCCAGCAGCTCCGCGGCATGTGGGATCTTCCCGGACCGGGGCACGAACCCGTGTCCCCTGCATCGGCAGGCAGACTCTCAACCACTGCGCCACCAGGGAAGCCCTAAAGCTGCAAATTTTAAACGTACAATTTGATGTTCTGATACATGCTTAAACCCTTGACACAAAAGGTGTCCTCTGGCCTTTTTAATCCATCCTTAGTGACTAATAAAATTATTGGTACAAGGACATATCCTAGCTTTTGGAGGATATTCACATGGAGTGGATAGTCACACATCCATACAAATAGCCAGGAATGTGCTATGAAGGCTTAGTCCTCACTGTATCTCACGGCCATTCTTGCTTCACTGGTGTCCACCACGTTACGGGGTTATTTTACTTACAATTCCAAACACCCTGTCACTTAATGCATAACCTCTTCAGAGTGCATCTCTAAAATATAATTTCATAATCTTTGTAACTATCACACAAAATAAAAATATTTAAACTATGATCAGAAATGGATACGGTGAAGGAGCTGACAATTCATAGAATAAAAAAAAGTGACCAGTAAACATATGAAAAATATCCAACCACACTAGCAATAAAGATATACAAACTCAAATACAGCCACCGATTTAAATTTTTTGCCCACATTTGGCAAGCCAAGGAGAGAGGCCTCAGAAGAAACCAAACCTGCCAACGCCTTGATCTTAGACTTCCAGCTTCCAGAGCTGAGTGAAATAAATATCTGATGTTTAAGCCACAGAGTCTATGCTATTTTGTTATGGCAGCTGGAGCAGACTAGTACGCTATGAAAGGTTAGAAACATCTCACCTGTATTCTGGAGCCGAAAGTTTACCCTCATCAGCATTGTTTTTCCATTTTTACCTGTCTTTTATCTCTAAATCCAGAAATAAATATGAACATCAAGGAAGAACCTAATAACAAGGATTCATTGGCCAAAGTATGCATGGCAGGTCCTGTAATGGGTGCTTCACAGAATGCCAGTTTACTCTGCACCTAACAGTCCAGGGCACTTTGGGCCATAGACATTGAGTAACCAGCCCAAGATCATACCATCAGCACAAAGGTGGGGACGGCATTTGAACGCACATCTGTTGAAGAGCTGAGTTTGCTGGAAGGAGCAGAGGCTTGGGTTTGAACCCAGGTGTGTTGCTAAATCTCAAAGTCTGACCTTGGGAGAGATTACTTGTCTTCCATGAGCCTCAGTTTCTTCATCTGTAAAACGAGGGGAGTAATATTTACTTTGCAGGATTGGAAAAGGGATTCAGTGAGATAACATGCAGAAGAACGAGAACATAGTAGATATCCCAAAGTGGTCAGCTCCTCTGCTGTAGCTTGCAGAGGCAAAGCCGAGACAAGAATCCTTGACCCTGGTGTTAGCAGAAACTACCGTATTTCAACAGGGCTTTTTGGTTTCAATACGGAAAAAGTCTATTTCTGTGTTGCTTTATATGTGATTGTTTAAAAATTAAACAAGCTTTTATCTATCAGGTGACTGATCTGTCACAGGTAGATCAGTCACCTGATAGACTGGGGCCCTCACAAGCTGAGGCCTGTGACTAGGTACATTTTGGGATGTCTGTGCTCACCCCTGGGCACAGGACAAAGGAAAATCAAGTGGAGACTGGCCTGTCTTAACAAGTCAGGGCTGAGCTACAAGCACTAGTGTGTGTGTGTGAAAATATAATGTGATCAAGGAATTCTGATTTGAATTTTAACTTGAATTTAAGTCTGTTTTTAACTTGTGTTTCTTAAAGAAATCACTATTCAACCATGGTGAAAAGTACTGCTCCGCTACAATTATCTCAAAAAATAAAGAGTTTAAGAAAAAGAAGAAGAAGGAGTACCACTCAGGAGTCAGCCACACTTGGAGTCAAAGCCAGCTCCTTCTATTTTCTAGATAAGTGACCTTGGCCAAATCCCCTAACCTCCCCAAACCTGTTCTCCTCATCTGTAAAATGACCACAATAATAACCACCTCACAGTTTGGTAGTGAATAACAAATTCAATTACATATGTAGTATTTATTTAATTCGGTATAGTCTTTGCAACAACTTTATGAAATAGGTACTATCATCATCCTCATTTTCCTGATGAGGAAGCTGAGATTCAGAGAAGTTATGTCACTTGCCCAAGGTCACACAGCCAGTAGGCGGTAAAGCTGGATTCCAGAGGCTGTGCTTTTAGCCTTTATGGGATGACAGTCCCTGAGTAAATATCAAACACCTGCAATTGCATCAAAGGAAAAATAATCGCTTTTTTTTTTAGCATCTTTATTGGAGTATAATTGCTTTACAATGGTGTGTTAGTTTCTGCTGTATAACAAAGTGAATCAGTTATACATAAACATATATCCCCATATCTCCTCCCTCTTGCGTCTCCCTCTCACCCTCCCTATCCCGCCCCTCTAGGGGTGGGATAAAAATAATCCCTTTTAATTCGACTGTTAATTAATTTTTGTTTTTATTTTAAGAGAACTTTGTACAACAAACTAAATAAAACATAACCTATAAACAGGAATACTTTCACAAAATTATATGAATGATGGTTTGTTTCAGATTTAACCTAGTTTTAGCTAAGAATTATGTTTTTAATTACACAAATTACATTGACGATAGAATTATAGAGTTAATGTAAATGAAATTAAATAATGTTATGAGCACAGAAGATGAGAAATGTTTATCAAAAAACCACAGAGGAATGGGGAATTTGTTTACTGGGTAAAGAGTGCTTCTTTTGGTTTTCAAATATACTATACATAATATCCTTTAGATATTTTAAAATCAAAATATACATTTAATATAAAATATCAAAACATTCTTCTTCCAAACTGCCATACCCACGTATTTTTTCCAGTCTTACTTTTAAGTTATATAAAAAGGTAATCACAGTATATGGGAATTTTCACCATTTTCCATCTTCTCTCAAACACATATCTTATATTTATCTGTTCTTTTCTTTATTCAACATGTATTAAGCACAGACCCTGCCGTGGGTGCTCAGGACACAGCTTGAAGGCACTCAGGGACAGGAAGGTAATTACAATAATGTGAGTGAGAAGTGTTTCCACTGTAGAGTTCTCCAGCTCAGTGGGAAGACAGGTGAAGAAAGCAGGAGGGGACTATACTCAGGTGAGCAGATACTGTATGGCAGAGGCCTGAGCCTGGATAGTGGGATAGGTTTTAACTGATGTGGCTTCCCAGGCTGTAAAGAGGGGTTACAAGAAAGACATGGGGAGTGGCATGCCCCCTATGCCATGCCCTGGGGTTGAGATAGTTTAAGGGTTTTAAACATCAGAATGTCTAAACACGATCAGATCAGTGTTTTAGAACTTTTATTGGGAGGAGTGTGGAAACCGAATTGGATCTAAGAAATCTGGGGGCAAGGAAATCATTCAGGAGTCTAACTGCTGCTGCTGTCACAGGCAAAATTATAAGGGTCTGAACAAAGGCAGTGGCCATGGAAACCAACGGGAGGGAAAGGGGTTGGGGGTAGATCCCAGTCCTTCCTTTGTGCTAATAAACCTGTTTCTCACATTTTTCTCCATCTCATGTGTATTATTTGTTAAGGACCCAGCAGTAATTAGTTGAACTAATATTGTTATTATTTTGTGCCAGACGTAATTTCATTGTTGCAAGAAATCTGAGGCACAGAGCAGAAGCGACTTGCCCAAGATCCCACAGCTGGGCAGGAGCAGAGAGACAAGACCCGAACCAGCTTTGTGTGAATCCACAGCCAATGCTCTTCCAGTTCACCCACCCACCCCCGTACTGCTTCCTGTTTCCGGTTTTGCTCTCAGTGACTGGCAGCCTTTTAAGCTGAATCCGTCCCCTTCCTTTCTTAAAAGAATAACTTATTGGCTTACTAATCTTTCCAACTACTGTCCAATCTACTGCTTTCCATATCATGTTGGTCTGGAGCCTCTGCAATATTCATTTTCTCATCAGACATTTTTTTCCTTAAATTTCAGCCATTTGGTTTCTGTGCCATCTAAATTTACTGACGTTGACTACTGTCTGGAAAAATTCAAAGTATTTCTTCATCCTTCCTTCCCTGCACTTATCAGAGTACTTTGTGTTAGTAACAACTCCTTTATTCTTGAAGCTCCTTTCCCCATATGTGCTGCAACACTTTGCTTTCCCAACATGTCCCTGGGTCACTCCAGAGGCTCCTTCTCTGGCTCTTAAGGTGTTCTTTCTTGATAAAGAAAAACAGTTCCTTTTCTCCTTCTATGTTCTGTGCGTGCCCCTAGAGGTGTTGGGTTTTCTTTGGTTTCCTATGTTTGTTTGAATCCTCTGCTGTTCTCTTTCAACGTGAAGACTTGTTTCAGTGATTTACTGACAACATACGTTTCACACAACCTCCCCAAACATTCCTGCCCTGTCAGTCACCTCGTCTGCCGGTGACGAAGAAGTACACAAAGGATTCATTCTGCTGTGTAAGCTTTCTGCCTGACCCCCACCTCCCCAGGTGCTTAAATTTCTTTGATCATGAAAATAAATGCCAAGCAGGTATTAAGCTTACAGAATTAGAATTGAAGCCTGCAGGTGAGAGAGAGAGAAAGACAGACAGACAGACTAGGTCAGCTGCATATTCCCGGCTGAATGCATCTCAGTTCACAGCTCAAGCTCAAGTTCCTGGAGGACCAGGAACCTCTGTCCCATACTTAACTCAGAGCCTCCAGAGCTAGTATGACTCAACCAGCAAGCATACCATTGAACCAGCACGCCACCAGGCTGACAGCGAGTCTGGGAGTCCCGTGCAGTCAGTGATGACAATTCTTGCTGGGCACTCTCAGGATGACCCAGGATTGATACTGATCTGAAACGTAAGTGCCAATAAGACTCCTATTTCCAAGATTCAAGAGTTCCAGCCTTGAAATGATAGGATCCAGGGGTTTCTGTTCCGAGCACAGTGCACCTTTCATCTCCAATATCTATACAGGTTTGTCCAAAACACAATTAAGAAAGAAAAACAAAAAACCCACAACGGTGTTCGTGACCTCTGCTCCCTCCATCCCCACCCCAATGTCCAGGAGATGGGAATTCAGACAAAAACTTAGACAAAAAAGCAACATCCCTAAAATTGTGCTTTACTGTTTGCTGGGTTTGTTTGTGGTTTTTTTTCCCGGTTTTATTTTTCTTTGGGGTGGGGGGGTGGGGGAGGAGAGGGGAGGACCTGGGCGCAGAGGAGGAATCCAGGCTCTCAAGCCTCTCCTCCACCCTTCTTTTGTGGGGTGGTCTTCAGCGCACTGAAGGGAACACTTCTTGGGGAGCACCCTTTCTGCTTGGTGCCTCCCACCGCCAGTCAGGCAGCCACAGGCAGAGGGGAGGCTCTGATCTGGGCTTGGCTGCGAGTCAGGAACACAAAGATCGCGGAGCCGGAGCGCTCAGGGCCAGGTGACACAATCGTGGGTGCCCGGCGCTGCTTGACAGCTTCATCCCCGCCCACTGGCAGGAGAACGCGGACGGGCAGCACGCGAGCGCGCAGGGTCCTTAAAAGCCGCAGCCGCGCGGAGACGCCGAGCTCGCCCACCGCGCGCAGGCGGCGACATGCACGTGAACGGCAAAGTGGCGCTGGTGACCGGCGCAGCCCAGGGCATCGGCCGAGCCTCCGCCGAGGCGCTGCTGCTCAAGGGCGCCAAGGTAAGCGAGGCAGGGCGCACGGCGCGAACCTCGTCGGCCCGGGGCCCCGGGGCATGGGGGCAGCGACCGAGGCTGAGCCCCCGGTGCCCGCCGTGCAGTCTCCAGAGCTGCCCAGGCTGGCGCGCTCGTGCGGACCTCGAACGCTCCGGGAGAGATCCCGAACTGTAAACTGCCCCATCTCAGATCCAAAAGAGGAGCGTCCAGGTCTCTTTATTGTTGGTCTATTTCAAGAGCCGCGCAGGATCTCGATTCCTCTCCTCTTGTCTGTAGGTAGCGCTTGTCGATTGGAATCGTGAAGCAGGTTTAAAGTGTAAAGCTGCCCTGGATGAGCAGTTTGAACCTCAGAAGACTCTCTTCATCCAGTGCGATGTGGCCGATCAGGAACAACTAAGAGGTAAGGGCGGGGAATCCATCCATCCACGCGGAGCGTACCTTGAGTAAGCAGCAACATGAAGGCAACCCCCGGCCAGAGATCCAGCCTGGGGCGGGCGGCCGGCTATCTCCTGGAGAGCAGCTACCTCTGAGCTGCAAGAGATAGCTGGGACTGTTACGTTTCCTCTGACGTCTCAGTAGCCCTAAAAGCTAAGGAGCAAGAAAAGCCAAGCATGCTTGAGAAATCCTTTTATTTTAGTCATCTGGCCGCACAGAATGTAATCAAGATTCCTTGGTGTATTCCAAGACGGTGCTGCTACAGTAATTATTAAATGATTGAACTTGCAGATGGAACTGGGAAAGACAAAGTAGGCTAGGCAAGTATGGCAAACAACTTCTCCCAGAAAGCTGGAAGACAGAGTCCAATGACAATCAAATGTGGCAGTGTTTCTCTTTGGAACGTACTAGAATGAAAGGTCAAGGGTTGTCATCACAGACGTACTGGATACTTTTAACCACATGCTCTCTCTGGTGTTTCCCCTATGAAATGATATTTTAAAAACAATAATAGCTGTACTGTAGTCTTAGAATTGCAGAAGAAAAGTTTCTACCAGACTTTCCTCAATGCTTTCCTGTTTCCGTCTACTCACTTAAAATAGACCAATCTGGTTGTGAAATATCAGGGACCGAATTGGTGTAGACAATTAACAGATTTGGTCATATAGAAACCCAATAGACCTATATGAAAAACATACATATTTTTCTGGGGGAAAATGGGAAAATAAAATATTTGTATTTCACAAAGTGTTTTTGAAAGACTAAGTAAATTATTAGGCACGTCTTTAGTCAAGGGACCAAAAATATCTTCATAAAAGTCACTCTGGTACTTCTGTTCTTAACGTGGATGTGTGTTTTTTCGAAAATGTTGGGCTGTTCTGTGAGAGAGTGAAAGTGGAGCTATATGTTAGAAGGAAACCAACTGCTGTTCAGGGAAACTGTTTTAAAGGAAATTATATAATTAAAATCCGAAAATGTTATAAAGACCTATAACATGGATTACAAGCATGAGTAGAAGAGACCTGTAAACATAGTGCTAGTTGCTAGAGGATAAAGTTTTGCTGATTGCACAGGATAGTTTTCATCAGGGATAAAGTCATGTCCAACATGAATTAAAGTCCAACAGCCGTGCTGATGGAATAGGGAACAGATTCCCTATAGATCAGCTGAAAGCTATTTCTGTCTGAATTTATGTAGTTTCACACGTGACATTTAACCTTAATTGTTTTGCTTCCCAGTATTTAAAATTAGTACCTTGACTGTAAACACATTCCTTAAGGATAAGTGATTGTGAAGGAGGAAACCAGACACATAATGAGTGACCGGCAGAAGGCATGTTGGTCGTGAGAAATCCACATGTTGTCTGGACATCAGCGTTTATTTGCAGTTTAGGAAAACATGGCATTGGCTCTTCCAGTGTCAGGATTTAATGCTCCCTACAACTTTTAAAACTGCTTAGACATGTGGCCAAAGAGACTTCATTGAAATCATAAAAATACAGAGGTGAAAAAGTTCTTGGAGATGACTTACAGATGAAAAATGCAACCTGAAGAGTTTAGGCAAATTACAAAGAGTACCACAGCATATAAATGTCAGCAAGAGTTACTAATAGACTGTAAGTTGCTTGAGCCCAAAATTCAGTGGTGTGTTATAAAGAAGAATACACCGATGTATAATTTGGTGTGTTATACATCAGTAAGGGCAGACAGAGTATAAGGAATACAGCGGACACCGAAAGAGGAAAGAAAAGTAAAGAAGCAAGCAGACGTCCATATTTGACAACCTAATTTCCTGTAAGGTGGATGTGGAGTTCTGAAGAGTAGAATATATTTAAGATGAAATGCAAAATTTAACAATAATAATATTCCTTAGATCTTTTCTACTGGAGGACCCTTTCTGGAATCAATTTGAGATCTTAAGAAGCATTTTAAAGATTCTTTGAAAAAATGAACAGTTTTTATATATTTTGTTGTTTTCCATTCCAGTACAGTAAAAGGTACTGTAAAGGGTACATATTAGAAAGTCTTGGCAATATTTTTGGCAGCTAACTTGCATAGTAATTTATCCATTTGGCAAATTAGTCCATGCCGTCTTCAATATGTCTGGTGGTTGTTAATAATTCTTTAATTTTATTTCAATCAGTATAAAGTTTGTGCGGATCTATTTTTTTCAAGGAACTCATATGTTGGACCCAAGACCCGAGAACACATTTCTATCATTTGGAAGAATAACCACAATTGTTATCTATAGTTTTGAGTAATAGAACTAGAACCAGTGGTAAAAGGCCCAGGGAAACAATAGAACTATGTAAAAGGCTACTTTGAGAAATAATGTTTCTCAATACCAAGGGGTAAAGCCTAATTTTAACTGGTCAAGGAGGGTTGGCAAGGACTGGAAATGTGGTTGGACAACGTAATGAGGGACCTTCAAACCTCAGAATCTATGCAGACTTGACCTTAGTTGAACACAGTTGTTATACAAACTTGCAATACAAAGCTGTCAAAATAGAAAAAGAAAAGGCAAGCATCGAAGTTACAATAATCAAATAAAATCATCTGAATGAAAAATAGACTTACTAGGATATCCAGATGCACTGAAATGATCATAATGGATCTGGATACGTAACTGTTTAATATGACACTTTATGAAGAAAATATGGCTTATTTTTAAAGGGATGCTTGTCATAGTCTAAGCCACAGAGCTTCAGTAACTTCTTAGGGACAGAGATGCTGGCTGCCCAGACTGACTTCTAAGAGCTCTTAGCATAGGATGCTCAGTTCTCTAAAATTTACACCACTGATACTGCTTACAGAACTTTAATGTGCATACAAATCACCTGCGGATCTTACTACGGTTAAGATTCCGATTCCATAGGTCTGTGGTGGCCACAGATTCTGCACTTCTAGCAGGTTCCCAGGTAATACTGATTGATGCTGCTGGCTCACAAACCACACTTGAGAAGCAAGGCAGGAAGTCACCGTCTACGAGTATAACTTTCACGAGAAGCGTGGATGAATTAAAACCTCACTTCAGGGCACAGACTGTCATAAATGTGTCTGTGCAAAATAAGAACGTATCTATGATGTCTTTTTTCTTTTTTTCTTATTAGATACTTTTAGGAAAGTTGTAGACCACTTTGGAAAACTGGACATTTTGGTGAATAATGCTGGAGTGAATAATGAGAAAAACTGGGAAAAAACTCTGCAAATTAATTTGGTAAGCCGTCTTAGCCATGTTCATGGTCTACAATTACTTAACAAAATGTTTTAAAAGGAAAAAAGGGTTTTTTTCATGGAAACAATACAATGACCTACAATGTAGAAAAAGGGAAGTTATAAAAAGCTGGGGAAAAAAGCATTTCCTTTTACAAATAGGAAGACATTTGAGGTTTTCAATTATGAAAATAAATCTGTCTTAAAATATTAAAAGGAGATATCAGAAAGACACATCGTTTACTGTATAACTTAGGAGTTGGCAAACTACGGCCCTCAGGCCAAATGAGCCTGCCACCTGTTTTTGTGACCTGCAAGCTAAAAATGGGCTTTACATGTTTTAACAGTTGAAAAAAGAAGAAAAAGAAGAAAAAAAAAGAAATATATGAATATACAAAATTCAAATTTCAGTGTCTATAAAGTTTCATTGGAACTCAGCCAAGGTCGTTTATTTACATGTTATCTCTGGCTACTTTCATGCTACCGTGGTAGAATCGAATAATTGTGACAGAGGCCCTATGATGTGCAATGCCTGAAATGTTTACCATCTGACTCTTTATAGAAAAAAAAGTTTCTAACCCCTGGCTTAATTTATGTACTTAAAAAATAAATCTTAATTCCAGGACTATAACAGACAACAAGGCTAAAGTGACCGTTGGACTCTGTAATTATTAAGATTTTTATCCTGAATGCTGGTGTGTGTGTGTGTGTGTGCATGAGTGTGTGTAATTCCCACAATGTTTGATGATTATTTAGCTCTTCCTTGAATTGTAAACATGTAGAATAAGGAAATAAAATTTGTCTTATTCATTGTATCATAAGCTTGCTGATTATCTTATTTTATAAACAGACTTGACATAAGATATTGGGGTTTAGTAACAAACTTTAGCTGAAGCCAAATATCAGAGCTGGGCGGGGCCTGGGGTCACCCTGTTTTTGGTAAGGTCTTTCTTACTAGTCTCGCAAAGCAGGCACATGTAAAGTACAGAGGGGCAGCTGTGTGTGTATAAATGCACAGGGAGTGGTCCCTACTTCACCACATCCAACTCCTTAAAAACAGGAACCATGTGATGTTTTTCTTTGTTCTTCTCTCAGTAATCAACACAGTATCTTGAAGATAGTGCTTAGTCAATAAATGTTTGACTTGAATTGACATTCTCATGAGTAATGACTTAACTGTAATAACTTGATAGGAGTAATGAGAATTACCCTAACTCACAAGAAAGCTGAATCTGTGAGTACCACTTTGATAAGGTACAAGCCTGACAGATGCCTAAAGTCCTTTGACCCAGAACAAAAGGTACTATTTTAAAGTACAAACACTCTCCTTCTAGTTCTTTCTAAAATTTGTCTCAAGTGTTCCTGGATATCATTATAGTTCAAAATAACTTTAAAACCTATTTGTCAAGTGTCCCTCAAAATCTTTCTGGTGTTGTGTGTGTGTATGTGTGTGTGTGTGTGTGTGTGTGTGTTTAGAGACATGACAACTGCTGTTCCTGAGTTAATTCTATGATTTTCTTCTACTTTAGACTAATAATGTAGTGAAATAAAATGAAACATTTTCATACTGTGAACCATACTTACATCTCTTGGCTAAATCTTACTTTGTCATGGTATATCCATGTCTAAGATACCATTGAATTTGCTTAGTTAATACCTAATTTAATTTTATATTTGTGTCTCTCTGTTATAAATGATAAGAGCTTATAATTTTCTTTCTTTTTTTTTTTAAAGAAGATGTTGGGGGTAGGAGTTTATTAATTAATTAATTTTTGCTGTGTTGGGTCTTCGTCTCTGCGCGAGGGCCCTCTCCAGTTGTGGCAAGCGGGGGCCACTCTTCATCGCGGTGTGCGGGCCTCTCACCGCTGCGGCCTCTCTCGCTGCGGAGCACAGGCTCCAGACACGCAGGCTCAGTAGTTGTGGCCCACGGGCCCAGCTGCTCCACGGCACGTGGGATCCCCCCAGACCAGGGCTCGAACCCGTGTCCCCTGCATTGGCAGGCAGACGCTCAACCGCTGCGCCACCAGGGAAGCCCTAATTTTCTTTTCTTAAAATATTTCTATTTGGTTTGGCTGTCAGCTATTCCTTTGCTTACTTCTATCTCCTTGATCTGTCCGTTTCTGAATAGCATAGTAGTAGTCATATCTCAAATGACAAATGTCAACTTGCCTACCTCTTTCAGTCATTCTGTCAGTGTGAATTCTACATAAATGGCTGGTGATTATAATTTACTGATCTTTGATTTTTTTAAGTTGTAGCCCCACTTGCAAACTGTGATTTTTGATTTGTTTTATATTTCCAGAAATAATATTGGTACCTTATGTTTTCTTTTGATTCACATTTACCTAGGCGTATCTTTCTCTATTTCTTTATTTTGAAAATGAAAGTAACCTTTTATGTGAATTTTGTGTCTTGCTAACAGTATAATGTGAGATCTTAGTTTTCAAATCACATCTAGAAACAAATGCTTTTTATATTTGTGAATTTAGGTCACTCATATTTATTTTTACTCTTCTATTAGGACTTATTCCTTCCACTTTAGTTCATACTTTATGTTCACTAAATTTTCTTTCTGTTTATGTTCTTTTTCCATTCTTGTCTTAAATTCCATTGGATCACTTTAATTTTCTTCAGCTGGTAAGAAAACCATACGTTTTATACGCAATCTTTGGTGGTTATCCCTGACTTATTATGAACCATACTTCATTACATCCTTTGGTTGCCAGATTTAAAATAATTTTTTTTGGAATATGCAACCAATTGGAAACTGCAGGAATTTTTAAAAACATGTTTTTATAAACTTATGCCCCTCTCCAAAACCACATAAAGTGACAAGACTTCTTTTTTAATCAAGCTATGCTAATGAAAAAGCACAAATCACACAGCAGCTCTCCTCCTAGAACATCACTACTATTTGTAGTTTCATCAGTAAAACTACAGATATTTTATAGATAGAGGTCCCTAGGGTATAAAGTTCCTATATTCAGTGCATTCATAATGGGCACCTACTGTGCCTTTCTTCTGAGAAATCAGCTGTCAGAAAACATGTGCAGTGATTAGAGTTAATATAATGAAACATGAAAATAGTGAAGAGATTGTCTCAGAGGTAATAGGATTCGAATTATCTATCTTCATCCAGCAGACAGGGCATGTTTGCTTTAATATAATAAATATACAGGTGAATAAACACCTGCTCCAATGTGGAAAGTTCCTGCATTATCTGCAAATAGAAAATTCTGCAAGACGGGAATTTTATTCGCCCTGTTTGGTTACAACTCACTCTCCTGGAGCTGGCCTTTATTTTTCTTTGAACTCTGCTGACAAAGGCCACTCCTTAGCTTAACTCCGGGGACTGATGACATTTATTTAATATTACATAAAAAGAACAAGCTATAACCTTTGTTACCCATATATAACTTAAAAACAAATTACTTCCCCTCCTACTTACAACACCCATTGCAAAAGTAGATTAGAGTCTGACCAATCATTATCCTTATAACTTGATTATCTCTGTTAGTATAATGCAAATATTTGTGTGTGGTTTGTATAATATTTTTTTTCAACTCTGCTCTGGATGTAATTTACCTCCTTGTACAATTCCCTGTGTGGTCTTTTGCATATTTTTCCATGTTCTTGTCCATGTCAGAGAGTAACGGCTTAAAGGACCTCACCATGTATCTTTCCCTCTTCTGAAATTTTATACAACATAGTTTATACCATCCTTATAAGGCATGTCAGTTTTTAAATTTTATTAGAATTATTTCTATACATGTATAACTTATGCTACTCTACTGTAAGTTCTCTGAAGGCAGAAAATTGTTGTTTTGCATACACAGATGTTCAATTAAAGTGTATTAGAAAAATAAACTGCTATTCTATGATATTTTGCATACGTGGATATTCATTTTTGTGTTTCAGTACAATGTTTGGATGGTTTCCTAACACATCAGTGTTGCAAACAGTGTACGACAAACAGTATATATGTCCTTCCACTTTTACTCCTTAGCAAATTTGCCCTTTCTTTATTCTTCAGCCAGCAGCTCCCACCGCTCTTCCCACCCAAGAGATACAGTAAACCTCTTCCCAGTCTTTTGTTTCCACTAGGCTCCTCTGTGTGTCAGCCACAGCTGCCTTATTTATAGCTGCTCAGGCTCACAGGGAATGTTCAGGAAAGAATGAGTCTTTGTATAACTCTCAAAGGTTGGTCTGGCCATTGGGCAGAGGTAGACTTAACTCAATATTGATAAGGCCATTTGGTAATGTATTTATTTTACTTTTTGAAGCTTTAATAAACCTAAATAATTCATTCCCACTCAGATGGGACTTCCAACCTAATTTGGACATATGACTAACTTATATTGACGCCTTTAGTATATTCAAATAAAAATTAAACAAAATAGATGGCTATTGTTGGGGATTTTAAAAAAGATTTGTTTCAGACCTGAATTTAAAATTCATGAACTTTTATTTCATGTCTCTGATCTTGAATTTCCCAGTTTGTGAAAGGATGAAGGTAATCCTCTTACCTCTAAGGTTGGTTAAGCGTCAATAAACCATAATTTGTATGAAGCATCCAGTACGGTGCTACTACATAGCAGTCACTCAAAAAATTGCATTTCTCGTCCAGAGACTAAAAACCTACATTTTCTTCATTCGCACTATCTCATTGCTAAACGAGGTGGGTCCCTCTGCTCTATACTGTCTCTAATGAAGAGTTGAGGAAATGGACAGAAACAGTGTTGTCAAGTGTACTCCTTTTTCTTGGCTCCCAGGGGTGTTGACTACACCTTAAATTAGTAACTACTTTCTGTTACTGCTACTCTGCCATATCTAAAGATCCCATTGAAATGTTATAGTTAGGGAAAGCTTGCTAAATTTTCTAAGTAGCTTCTGCGAGGGGGAAGACAATCATATCTACCCCCTAAATACGCAGAAATTTTAAAAGATTGAACATGGAAGAATAAAAGATGAGAAAAGGTTTCAGGAAAAAAATGATCATCTATATTAGTATCCCTTGAGAACTGGCTGGAGAAAAAAACAAGAAACCTGAAAGGCAGAGTTTCATGATTTAGATGACAGAATCTTTTAAAAAATTGCTTTAATTACAGTGTAGCACAAGAACCATAAATAAACTGAAAGCAACTGCAGACTGGAGGGAAATTAAATAAAGGAAATGACAGATTAGGAAAATTCCGTAGTGGATACACACACACACGCACACACATACACACAAATGTTATAGAAGCATATATACATATATGTGTGTATAATAGGAAGACATTATGCCTAATAAGAGGAGTTAAACAAGTTCATTTATCCATTTATCTGTATTACCAGAGAATTATTTCCAGGATAGAGGAATTTATGAGAGTGGTTTTAAGTTATAGAATGCTTTAACTTGTTAAAAAAAAAAAAGTATGTTAACATTTGGAATACTATACAATTTCAGTATTACATATAAACATTGTCTCTTCGTAACTAAAAATGTTGAGTAAGCATGTGTTAATTATATCACTTTGTCAATAACTGAATTTTCATTTATCCTGACTAAGTAAAAGTAGACTTTGGATTTTCCTCTTTTTTTGTTTGAGAGTCAAATACAAAATTTTAATACCTTTACAAAATGGACTAAAATAATGCTATAGGTTCCAGGTGTTTTTTGTATCTGTAGCGAGAACATATCTGTAATTTTTGTTTTCTTTTTTTCCCTGGATATTACAATGGCCCAATCTATACAATGTATAAACATTGCCAAAAGGCCACAAATATATTTAGGAAACATTTTTATTCTGTGTTTTTCTAACAATTCCATTAATATATGATCTGGGATATGGAAGAGGTTGTCAAAGTAAAGGAAAAGAGGTGAAAATTTCTTATATGTACAGCTAAAACCTTAGGCTTTGTCTTGCAGGTTTATCCTAAGAAGCCTTTTATTTGAAAAGTTACTCAGTTCTTAACCTGATAATGGATGGCAAGATAATCCTTCGCCTTCTCCATCAAAAACCAGGAAATAAATCTGGCTTTTAAAAAAAATTAAAAACATTCCCAAATTTTCTATCTGGCTGCATCTTGTAGATGTTTTCAAAAGCAGGTGTCAGCAAAGCTGTAAATACCTGAGAATAAAAGCGTAGCGCCAATACACATAAACAGAAATTCTGTTCAGACATGCTGGAGACTTGGGCAGAAACACACAGAATCTAACTGACTTCAGTAATTTCAGCCATCTACATTCTTTTCCTTCTTATATAAGCCATTAATGTTTTGTTTTCCCTTTTTGAAGGGAATCATGTGCAGGTTTTACTCATTCTCCCTAAGCCTACTTAATATCAAACTGATGCATGGCTTAAGTGAATAGAATCTTCAGCTTACTTTTTTTTGTGCTAGAACTACTGTTAGGTAGAGAGGCAACTCTGGATCCTTGTCAAAAAAACTCCAAAAGGACGTTTTAAACTAAAAAGAAGGTAACCACCAATATATACCCTCAGGTTCAGACTCGTTATCTCATTATCTGTTGTATCATTTTCTTTGCAGTGCTATAAAGAATGAGAGACATAGGAATTAAGATGTCAAAAGCAAATTTTCACCTTTCAAAAGTCTGAGTTGGAAGGGAGAGGAGTTCTTAAATCTAAAAGGGAATGCAAGGTTTCAAATACGTTTCATGTCGCAAGTTGATTTTGACAGTGGTTAATTCTTAAATGTTAGGATAAAACCGAAAAGGTGCCTATACCTGGATGTGAGTAGCAAAGCAGAGTAAGCTTTCGAAAGGACAGCTGCAGGAGTGATGAACAAAATTAAGTGATTTCATTACTGAAGACCATATGTCCAAGGAACAGAAATCCCTTTTGCTCAAACTGGGTACAACGGCTATGTGATCTCATACGACACAGAGTTCAGGATGGCTTGACGCTGCAGCTCCCGGATCTCATTCCCGTCTGCCAGCCATCATGGTGGTTTCCTCTTAAAGATGCTATCAATATAACTTCATTGCAGCCATCGCCCCCATATGAAGCAATGAGAAAGGAGTAACGCAATCATTTCTTCCTGGTTTTCTTAAGAGCGATGACAATTTTCTCCGCAGAGTCCTCTTCCATCACCCTCCCCAGCCCAGACTCCACCTCCAGCGGACTGCTTCTCAGGTCTCGCCAGAAATGGTCACATTTGGCTCCTAAACCAGTCACGGGCAAGGGGAATGGGATTTCTGTGATTGAAATAGATTAATCATTGTCTGCACTAAAACAGGGGAGATCACCTTCCTCTGTACTACATGCAGAAGAAGTAGACACGAATGCAAAATAGAAGAAGGAAATCAAAACTGTGTAGGAAATCGAGGGTATCCACTATTACATATTCCAAGATCCAAGAGAGTGAAACAGAGCAGATGGATGTAGAATAGTTGGACAAGAGAACCATGTGCTAATAAGGGTGAATACATTTTGTATCCAGTATTTAGAAAAGAAAAAGAATGTACAGAATTCTTGAAGATGCTGAGGATTAGTGAAAGTAACAAGACACTTGGAATATAACCTTTATCATAAAATCTCAGATCAGGCAACTAAGTGAAGTTTTGCAGAGATGTGATGAGCTCTACAAGTTTAGGCAAATAAAAGAGAATCCAGTCAGTGCGTTTGAAAAAAACACAGCCACTTCAAAACCTTTCATTGATAACATGTGCAGGAGTCTCCCTCGGTGTCTGGGATAGCAATAAAAACTGTGGTGTGTGACCATATGATAAAGTATAATAGCTCTTTATCAGAGCTATACTCTTTAACAGAGTATAATAGCTCTGTTGCTTTTCCCATTTCTGCCCCTGGACTAGGTTTCTGTCATCAGTGGAACCTACCTGGGTTTGGATTACATGAGCAAGCAAAATGGAGGTGAAGGTGGCGTCATTATTAATATGTCCTCTTTAGCAGGTAAGGACAATTATCATGTTAATAATGATTTCTTACTGGTAATTGGGACCACAAAAGTAACTCTTCGAAGTGTATTTATTATCAACTCAGGTTTGAAATTGAAACTTGGTTTCCTTTTTTTTTTTTACTGGTTCTATGGAATTTTCTGTTATATGATATCAGAAGTTCAAACTCTAAGTTTATTCCTATTATCTTAAATTGTGACTTTATCTTTCTGCAGTACTATTTAAAAAAAATGTATAGATATTTTCCTAGAGTTGCTACTTGTCAAAGGTTACTGTGAGATTCCTAAGCAGTAAAACATGTAAAAGCACCTTTGATAGACTAAAAAGGACTAAAACGAAGTTAAGGTATCTCTAGTCCTGTGTGATTTTAGTAAGCGTGCCTAATTTTAAAATATGGCATATATAGTTAGTTGGGATATACTGTAGGGGAAGCCAGACTTGATCTCTACTTTCTCAGCCTCTCTGGCCCAGCCTGAGAATGAAATTGACATAAGATGGATCAACAAGGGCAAAGCGTACAGGTTTTCACACGTCCATGAGAGTCCCCACAGGAAAATGAAGACCCAAAGAAATGGCAAGGCCTCGCTGTTTATAAACTAGGTTGAACAAAGCAAGGCAACTGTGGGAAAGTAACTAAAATATATGGGGAGACTAAAGAAAGATAAAGTTATTTTAACAACGTCTGTACAGATGTCTCTTGGCCTTGACTCCTATCTCCAGCGATAGATAAGGTTTCTTTTCTCCTGGTGCCGGGACAGCATCTTTTACATGGGATTCTGTGTCCTGCTTTCAGGAAGAAAAGGGAGATTAAAGTGCTCCTTTGCATCTGCTGTTTTACAAGTGCCTTTAGCTCAAATTCACCCTTACGCCCATGTGACATACTTTGGGGTGGCATATTCCACCTCCCTTCAGTGCTAAACTGCAATAATAAATAGACCCAAAGGTGTAATGGTTTAAACATAGCGTAAGCTTATTCCTCACTCATATATCAGCCCAGGGCAAGGGAACCTCTTCTGTACGCAGTCTTTTGGGAAACCAGGCTGGCAGAAGCTCTTCAGCGTGGAGCTTCCAGGGTTACGCTGGCACTGGGGGACTCCTTTCTCTCCTACAGAAAGAGCAAGAGAACCCTGAGGAGGTGTGGTTCCTCTTCTAAATCCCAGCCCTGCAATGGCAAACCTCACTCTGTTCACATTCCTATAGGCTTTGACCTCATGGCTCACCTGACAACAGGGAGTCTGGGAAACGTAGTCTAGCTGTGTGTCTAAAGGTGGATGTCAGAGGAGAGCTGATCATCCTTGCCACAAAGGGCAATCCAAAATGTGTTTTATTCAGGGCAGTGTGATTTACGATCAGCTGATGTCGTCTTACTCCGTATTAGCTATAAACCTTTGGCAGGAACTTTTGGAGCAGAAAGACTTTACTTTGAAAATTCTAGGAAAAAATCATTAATGGGTCTTGAATAGTTAAAGTGAAATCATGAAATTTTAGAACACTGACCAATATTGACAGCAAGTCTAAACTATTCGTGTCCAAAAAACAGTGAGACTTTCTTCAGTCATTGGGTTGGTTTCAGTTATTGTGGTAATTGCAGAATCGGTGTTCCTTGCCCCCCACCCCCCATCCTGTCCTCCACCTCCTGGCTGCAGTAGCACTGGGGGAGTCAGGTGACCACACTAGTGTCTGAGGCTCAGCGTTTTTCTCATTCCTCCAGGAATCATTGTCAGATGGTCTTTAAACCACTGTGAACTTAGCACGAGTGGAAACTTAGACATCTCCCTCTTCAGAAGTTCTCAAAAATAAACCCGCATCTCATTTTGAGTTGCTTCAAGACAAAAATGCCATCCCTAGAGTTATTATAGCCCTGGTTCTATAAATGGTGCAGGGTAATCTGGTTATTTTTCCTAACATGTCATCTACTTATAAATTGTAACATTTCAAGTCCAAGAGTACAATAAAAGATGAAAGCATGGGCAATACTTAAAAGAGATATTCAGCCCCAGAGAGGGCTGAAGTTTGGATTCTCAGAGGCTGGAACCCAAAAGGCAAATTGTCACGGCTAAATCTACACTATTTTGAAATGAAATCGTACGAAAAATATATAAATGATTGGAGAATTAAGAAGAAATGTTTAATAGTTTAATACAAATATAAATGTACAAAAGAACCTAGGGTGGTGATTAAGACATAATTCCATGAATTCTCTCTTAAAGTTAAGGGGGCTAGTGACACTGGAGAACCATGAACATCAGAGACTCTTGACCTTGTATCATTGGAGGCACTGGTTTCAACCTCAGGAAAGAGAGAAGGCCTCGGGGTTGAATCAATATAGGACTCTCTGGGACAGCCTCTGTACCGGAAGAGGCTTACTTGCCCCAAAGAGCATGAATAGAGAAATGCAGGGTAGTACTGCCTTTTATCCAATAAAAATATTTAAATATATAGTAACAATTAACTTTCACTGAGCGCTCACTGTTTGCATGATACTCTTTTAAACACTGCGTATGTGTTCTCTCATTTAATACTCTCAACAGCACAGTGAAGTAGATTCTATAACCTTCATCTTGCAGATAAGGGAACCTAGCCTGGGGAGTGTAGGTTTCTTGCACAAGCTTACATGCAGGGAAGCGGGGGAGCTGCAGTTCTCATGCTAGCAGCCTGATACGCGATCCCCTACTCTTAACCACTTGATTTTCTCTCTCTTCTATCTATGAGTCTGTCAGTCTCTGTCTCTTTCTGTGTCTATCTTAGCCTAATTATAAAGAAAGAGAAACTGAATTCCTGTAACTTGATTAAGCCAATGCGATGTGCTAGTATCTTCAGGCCTCCTGGGCACTACTTGAATCTCAGGACTATTTATTAAACCTTCAGCGAAAGCTTAAGCTATTGCCCCATTTGACACACACAGAGTAAAGCCCTGGAACCATTTGGGGAGCTTACCAACATCACAAGTCAAAACATGCCAGAGAGAAGAGTAATTTAGGGATTACAATTAGATGTCCACTTGGCTTTCTTGGCTAAGAGCTTGCTTTGTCACAGTACCCATCCTGGGTGTGAATTTTCCTCTTAGCCTATCTCAGAGCCAGTACTGGGAACCCTGTGTGGATCCTTCTCTAATCGTGCAGATAAAACAATGAATGGATATAAATTCAATGAGGAGACCACTTTGGCTTTGAATTACCTTTCTGACACTCTTACAGTCTAGTGAATAGCAGAACAGTCTAAAGTGGAGTAGTACTGACACATATACACTACCAAATGCAAAATGCACGGCTAGTGGGAAGCAGCCGCATAGCACAGGGAGATCAGCTCGGTGCTTTGTGACCACCTAGAGGGGTGGGATAGGGAGGGTGGGAGGGAGACGCAGGAGGGAGGGGATATGGGGATATATGTATACTTATAGCTGATTCACTTTGTTATACAGCAGAAACTAACACACCATTGTAAAGCAATTACACTCCAATAAAGTTACTTTTTAAAAAAACAAAGAAACAAACAAACAAAAAAAGCAAAGTGGTTCTCCCTCTGATATTTCTCCCAACAGGCAGGGTAACTCTGTTGATCATGGTTCAATAGTTCGTCTCTGTCCATTATACTTGATTGGGTACCTTCATAATGCCCGTCCTCCATACTTGTGGCATCTACACCATTTCCTTGTTGCCTCTGGCCAATCCAGACAGCCCCTGCTACCCCTCCTCTGACCCTGGGCTTTGTCACTGAGGTGTCCTCATCTCAGAAAGAGAATTAAAATGTATTGTCTTGAATTTTATCCACTCACCAAGAGCTTCTGTTCTTCCCATAATGAGATCAGTTTGATAAAAATACAGGATTTTGTAATAGTAGCAGAAGATAAATGTAGACGTCTCACATCCTCATACTTTCCTCAGAAATAATATCAACAATTTTGTTCCCCTGAAGTTGGAGCATGTCGGCAGAGGTCAGATGACCAAAAACATCTTTGAGGGGTTACTGGAGTCAAAGTAATTCTTTTTTTTTTTTTTTTTTTTGAGTCCTCAGCTTATATGAGGTATAATTGACAAATTTGTAGGAAGAGAGTTCTCATGCTTGCTTCCTCTGTGTTTTCCAAATATTCCTTCCTTACAGACTTTCCCTCTTTCCCCCCTACTGCTCACTCTGTTGAGGGAATGGTGGGTAATATTCAACCCAACCAGAGTCCATCCCATGATCTCTTGCACAGATCCAGTGGAATCATTCAGTGTCATAGTAAAACCTCAAGTTGACACACTGGTTTCGGCAGAGAAGTTAATGAGTAACGACCGCTGACGCAGACCGAGTATCAGATGCAATTAATAAGTTTAACAAACAGAGGAGTAGTTACAGGGGAGAGTGATTCCTCGGTGTATTGAGGGAAGGGTGTGCTTGTCCCTGGAAGCCCTGGAAGTTGTTCCAACCTCTGTTAACCACATAGATTCTTCTGTACAAGTTTTTGTCTATAAATATAATATATAAACCTGCACTCAGTTTACCACATCCATCCTTAACTGTCAAACAAGAAAAAGTTGAACAAGAGAGAAGAGTGAAGTCTGGTTTAAAGCAGATAAACAGCTCTGCTCCCATGAGGCATCCCATAGGAGTCGAGTATGCTGCTTCTATACTTAGTGGGAAAGGAAGAGTAGTCATCACAGAAAGAGTCTGCCCACCAACCCTGCTCCCACCTGCTCAGCTACTGAGGTCTTGGTGTTTGCTATGCCTCAAAAATAAGTCACTCGGTAGCATTTGGTGAGTAACACCACGAAGGTTGTATCTGCTCTGAACTGAAAACATTAGAGTCTCAAGAAAATACCTGAAAATCTTAGAACTTGTTTAGCATGTCTTAAACCCAGCCCAGTGACATACTCACTTGAGCTCTAAGTTGTGTCGACAACTATGTAATTACTTTGTGTTACGGTAGAAGAGCTCAAGTTACCACTTTAAATAACACATTCAAGTTAACCAAACGTGTCAAACGTGGACAGAAGGGAAATGGGGCTATGAAAG